GTGATTGTGGCTCAGTGGTAGAGCACTTGCTAGCATGGGCGGGACCCAGTTCGATCCTCAGCACCACACAAAAATAAAAGCATTGTGTTGTGTCCATCTACACCTAAAAAAATTAAAAAGAATAATAAAACTTCAGTTAACACATCTTCCTTTAATAACTTTCTTACATGTAGACATTTTCTATTAGATTCTTCTTTTTTATTTTAATTTTACTTTGTTGTAATAAAAATATTTTCTTGATTAATATCACTTGCCTCTGTGGGCCAAGATCACAATAAGAATTACATTTTCATTTAAGTATAAGAGTTTTGTATTTACATCATTTGTTTTGAGGAATTATCCATATGTGAAATGTTTGTAGAATAAGGTATGAACAGCTATTTCATCCTTTTATTAAGTGCCTTTTAGACAAGAAAGAAAACTGTAAAATCTTATCAGTTTGGGGAATATTTCAGTTAGAGAATCAAAGTAACCTCTCTTTTAATCTTTAAAACTAATAGGTCTATCATTGCCCTCGACTGATAAGAATAATTTATAAGTTTTAATATATGCAGTAGAATGTGAATATTAATAATTTTAAAAAAATTCCACATAACTGTGCTTGAAGGATATTCTCATAATAGTTTATTATCAACATTCCATAATTTTAGCTTAAATGTTTCTGAATGACTCCCATTCCTTTTCCTGTCATAATTATGATATTGTTGATAGAGGTTGTCTAATAAGTTTAAAATTTAAACCATTAAGTGTTGGTATTTCTTAATGAATGGAAAGCCATCATTAGCCATTATTAAGAAAATTGAACTTGATCTGGAACAGTGAGCATTTAACAAAGAACAAAGAAGCTAATGTTGTCCTGTTCTTCCTTTGCATTTCTATGTTGTGTTGGTATTTCTTTTTTTTTGGTACAGAGGTATTGAACTCAGTGGTACTCAACTACTGAACCACAACCCTATCTGTATTTTGTATTTTATTTAGAGACAGGGTTTCACTGAGTTGCTTAGCAACTCGCTTTTGCTGAGGCTGGCTTTGAACTCCTGGTCCTCCTGTCTCAGCTTCCCCAGTTGTTGGGATTACAGGCCTGTGCACCTTGTCTGGTAGTGTTGGTATTTCTTAATGAATGCAGTTGGCTTTGTTTTACCTACTTCCCTTATCCTTCTTGTACTTCTTATTTAAATTATTCTCAATATGTTTTTATGATTTGCTTTCAAATCGTAACATTTGTTGAGGGTGGCTTTGAATTCTTTTAGTTGGTTGGCTATATTTTGCAAATGGTGAATGAAATGGAAACTTAGTGACTTGCTTCATGTTATTTATCTGCTTTAGTGCATAGAAGAGAATAGACAACAAGTCTGGTTTCCACTTTCATAGAAGGTCAGTGCCAAATAAATATTTCCTAAACTGAGTTAACTTTTCCCATTGTACCATTTTTTAGCTTAAATGGCACATGACGATATTTAATCTCTATAATAACTTGGCCACAACTGTGTGGTTTGGACTGTGACTATGATCTTCTGTGCATATTGCTAGGTCCTAAAATCAGGTCCACCTCTAACAACAGATCATTCCCTGTCAAAAGGACATGGAAACCAAGGTTTTCACCCAAAACTCTCCTAATACTCCGCTTTTTAGCAGTAATTTTCTTAAATATTCTGTTTCCTATAGTAATCAACCATTTTATTTTATTTTTTTGGTACCAGAGATTGAACCCAGGGGAGCTTACCCAGTGAGCCATACCTCAAGCCCTTTTTATTTATTTATTTATTTATTTTTTAATTTTGAGACAGTGCTTATTTAAGTTGTGTAGGTCTTACTTAGTTGCTGAGGCTGGCCTCCAACTTGTAATGTTCCTGCCTCAGCCTCTGGAGCTGCTGGGATTACAGTCATTGTGCCATCATGCCTGGCTAGTCATCAACCATTTAAAAAGTTATTCTTTTCTTCTAAATCTACGGAGAAATATTGTGCTTTTCTTCTCGTAAAGATTTTTTTTTTTTTCCTGAACCTCTTGATTGGTTCATTTGTTCCTTTGCTTATCTTTAGACAAGTAGAATTCTCTTTAACTTTGATGTTAGATAAAAGAGGTACACAGTACTATCAGACCTTATGCTGTCTATTTGGTAGATCCTGATACAGGGTGCAAAACTGGTTTATGTGTGTAATTCCCTAGCACAGTTTCTGGGGTTTAGCAGGACTTTCTGTATTTTAGTTTTGATCCAACATAGGGTTTATTTACAAAACGATAAATGCAGTCAGTTCAAAAGTTTCACCTCTAGCACTACTTTTGCTGCACCCCACAAATTTTAATAAGTTCTATTTTCATCACTTAATTCAAATTTTTAATTTCTCTTGAGAATTCTTTGACCCTATGTTATTTAGAAGCATTTTGTTTAGTTTCCAGCATTTGGAGATTTTTTCCAGTGGTCTTTTTGTTACTGGTTTCTAGTTTAATTCCATTTATGATCTGAGAGCCAGACATTTTGTCATTTCTGTTCTTTTAAACTTGTTAAGTTGTGTATTATGGCACAGAAAGTGGTCTATCTTGGTTAATATTTCATGTCAGCTTGGGAGGAATGTGTATTCTTCCATCATTGGGTGAAATATCTATAAACATCTGTTAGCTCCTATTGACTGATGATTTTGTTAAGTTAAGCTAGGTCCTTACTGTTGGATCTGTCAGTTTCTGATGGGGGAGGGGTGATTGTTGAAATTTCCTTCTAAAATAGTGGTTTTTATCTATTTCTGCTTGTGGTTCTACTGGGTTTGCCTTGTATATTTTGATGCTCTTGTTCTTAGGTGCATATATATTCAGGATTGTTGTATCTTTATGAATAATCAACTACTTTATTATTATGTATATTTCTGTTTATCCCTGATAACTTTCCTTGGTTTCCAAGCCTGAAACTGGGCAGTTGCAGGGTAGGGAGGATTACAGTTATATTTCCTGGAGTCTGAAGAGCTGAGAACCAGGAGTACTGATATCCCATGGCAGAAAAAGATGAATATCCCAACTCAAGAAAAGAAAGGGAATTCACCCTTCCTCTTCCTTTTGTATACCATATGATTTGACGATGCCCACCAACATTGGTGAGGAGATCTTCATTATTCAGTCTGAAATATTGATCTCTTCCAGAAATACTCTCACATACCCCAGAATAATATTTTATCAGTTACCATGACATCTCTAGCCCAATCAAGTTGACATATAAACTAGCTGTCACATATGCCACAAACGCACTTTAAAAAAACTTTATCCCTCTTGGTGTTTTCTAAGGTTTCTGGATCTGTTGTTTGGTGTCTGATATTAATATGGGGTAGATTATCAGTCATTATTGTTTCAAGTATTTCTTAGGTTTCTTTTTTTTTCTTTGGAAATGTGTATTAGTCCTTTAGCAGTAGTCCCATGGTACTTGGATATTGTATTCGTTTTTTTCCCTTTGTTTTTCAGTTTAATGGTTTCTATTGCACTATCTTCAAGTCCAGAGATTCTTTCTTCAAATGTGTCCAGTTTACCAATAAACCCATCAAAGACATTTTTAAAAATTTTTGTTACCATGTTTTGGGTTGCAAGCATTTCCCTTGGGTTGTTAGGATGTCCCTCTCAGCTCACCTTGCTTATCTGTTTTTGCATGCTGTTTATTTTATCCACTAGAACCCTTAGCATCTCAACCATAATTGTTTATATTCCCAGCGATAATCCCAACATTCTTGCTATATCCAAGTCTGGTTCTGATATTTGTTCTGTCTTTTCAAATTATGTTTTGCTGTTTAATTTGCCTTGTAATTTTTTTTTAATAGCTGGTTGTGATGCACTGAATAAAAGAAACTGCTGTAAATAGAGCTTTTATAATGTGGAGGTAGAGAGTAGGGGGGAGCTGTGAGTAGGTTCAGAGAGTCTTTCAGTGCCCCTGTGCCCCTTGGCTGTGACTATTAACACCTCCTTCTTAGTCATCCCACCCCTAACCCGTGGGATGGTTCTAGTGGGCTGGAGTTGGGCTTTCCTTTCTCCAAGTCAGTTAAGCACTAATAAAACCCCACCAGATGAGGCTCTAATTAACTTGTTTTTCTTTATTTACATAATTATAAAATGGTAATTTGTTCCAGGGACTCTAAAGGTGCTTTGTCTATGATTAGATATATAATCTAGAATATTCCACTTCTGTGGAGAATGAACTGCTTCTTGAGCCCTTCAGTTTGCGGCCTATCCACAGTCTTAACTCTCTGAACTTGTCCTTGCCCAGCTCCTCCAGGCTTGCTGAATGCTGTGGTTTTCAGGTTCAGAGTGTCTTCCTGAGCTGCAGTGTCTGATCTGGGCTGGAAAAGGGTGGAACTGGCATAAAGCAGCTGGTTTTCTAGGACACAGCTGGTCAGAGGAAGATGGTGTGGGCTGACCATTGTGTTTCTTAATTTAGCAATATCTGGAACCATAGGTCCTAGAAATATTGTCTCTGGAACTTGGTTGTCTGCTTTGTTTAGTTTTCAGTATTGAAAATTAATAATCCATCTTTTCATCATGATTAGTTTAATGGGAAGTTGAGAGAAGTCATACCAGAGATTTTTTTCAAGTGGTGATGTTTAGGTCCAGAAGAGAGAGATCTTTTAGCTTTCTAAGATGAAGTGAAATAAAACCTTTGTTTTTATTGGACCAGTTTATTATCCTCATCATACTAATGAAAGCTATCATTTGCTATCTTGTGAGACTTTAGGCTGTATCTTCATTTTATTTGAACAACTTTGAAAAGAGGGTCTTAGTTTCCTCATTTTTCAGGTAAGGAAGTCGAGGCTTAAATGATCGGCCCAAAGTCTCAGCTGTTATATGGTAGCACTGAGATTCAAATCCAGGTCACATTTCACGAAACACATCCCTTGTAGTACATATTTTGAGAATAGGGATAGTGAACATGGAAGGTTAAGTGGTTATCTAGAATTACTGTCCTGTGTTGTAAAAGCTTTTAGATTTTAATTATATCTGAAAATGATTTGCTTGTAATCTTCTTTTCAAGATGGCAGCTCCTGGATTTACTCCTGGTGCCTTCGTATTTCTATTGTGCATTAATTCTGTGGCTAATTATCCCAGTGGAAAAGTGACACAGTCGTGCCATGGAATGATTCCTGAACATGGTCACAGGCCACAGGCTGACCCTGTTCACCACATCACAGTCAGTCAGGTGACGTTCAGACCAGGAGATCAGGTCGAAGGTACTGTGCTGGGAATGATTATTTACACTTGGGTTTCACTCTGTTTTTACTGTCCTATGCATCTTGATTATTATTGGGTTTGAATTATTCTTTTAAATCTCTTCAGTCACTTGGTTAGAAGATACTCTCTTCTTCCCATTTTTTGTTTATTCCAGATGACCCTATGACTTAGGTGGTATATCTATTCCCTATTCTGAAGAAGTTTTAAATCATTACTTAATGTATTTATTTATTAATAATACTATTAACTCAGTAGAAGAAGAAAACAGAGTTTTTAAAAATAGTTTTAGTTGTCAGTGGACCTTTATTTTATTTATTTATATGTGGTGCTGAGAATCCAACCCAGGGCCTCACATGTGCTAAGCAAGAACCCTACCACTGAGCCACAATCCCAGCCCTAGAGTTTGTTTTTATCTTGTTTAAAATATAATGAACATTTTTCTGTCTTGAAGACAGAAATCTTATGATTCCTCAGTCCCTCGGGCAAAATGTGGGCTAACTGTTGAAGATATATCGATTATAGCATTTTGCAAACTATTTTCTGCAACTATAAACATGCAAAGTTATTAATATGTGCTCTTTAACAACAAGGGTATATGGAGAAAAAATTATTGATTGATTTTTATTTATTTAATATCTGTGTATTAGATATAATATATCTCCCAAGAATCTCCTGTCATAGTAGAATATTAAAGACTCCAAGGGGTTTGTAATAAAGAAAGACATTTTTACTTTTATCTAGCTTTTTCCATACTCACTTAGCCCTATCGACTGCCTTGTGACTGTCACCTGCTTTTCCCACTTGAGGAAAAATGGCTGTTGGTATCTCACAAAGTGAGTGCCCTGCATTGCATAGTTTAGACACTCTTTATCTGCAGGGCCATTTCTACTGTTTTCTCTTCAGGAGCTGTTTTGTACATGTGTACCTGATTCTAACTGGTTGCACTTTCTCTAAACATTCCTTTTTGGGGTCTTACTAAATCTTACTAAATCTTTTAATCTGTTTCTTAGTTACTTTGTCAGGACCACCATTTAAAGGCTTCCTCCTAGAAGCTCGCAATGCTGAGGATTTGAGTGGTGTTCCTGTTGGCTCTTTCACGTTGATTGACAGTCAAGTGTCACAGCTTCTGACTTGTGAAGATATCCAGGTTCATGTTGTTTTCCATCCCTCTCCTTGGGGTCTTTTCATGATGGGGTGGTGGTTGCATGATGACCTTAGCCATGTATTGCAGACATTTATGTAGATTCACAATGATCAGACTTCCCCCCGTTTAACTTGTGATATATACTTACACATCAGCATCCTAGAAAAGATACAGCAACAGCTTGAAGAGCTTACAGTTTGTGATATTTTATATCATATTTTATATTGATGTTTGAAAGCTTTCAGTATTGAAGATAGAATTTTAGGGTAGAATTTAGAATTTTTTTCATTCATTTAATAAACATTTGTTGCACCAGGAACTTGCAAGGGATAAAGTGATGAATAAGAGACTTCTAATTTTTCCTTGAAGAACCCACACCCTTACACATCAGTAGAACCAATGGACACAGGAGATAAGACACAAAAGGAGAGCATGTGGACATAGGACAGATGTCTAAGTAAGATAGTGTGGTAGAGTTTATCCAGGGTGATGGCAGGCATGCCAGAGGGGCCACCTACAGACTGGAGGGAATTTATATGGAGCTTCTTGGAGGAGCTGATCTCTAAGCTAGGCTTTAAAAGTAGGAGTAGGGGTTTGCTAGGTGGAAAAAAAAAAGTAGGAAACAAGATTGTTTAAGAGAAAGAAATTACTAAATTATCATGCTATGTATTTGGAGGCAGGGAGTTTTCTTTTGAGTAATCTGCATTTTATTTATGGAAGGAATGAATTTATAATGTAAATGAAATAATGAGCAAGCTTTATAAAGCATTAACACACCCAATATTTGTGACACCATTCAGTTTTCTTAAATTTCGGATGATTATTTTATTTACAGAGCTAATTTCTAATATAACCAATCCACATTCGTTTATTGTGTACCTTAGTGCTTGTTCTAATTAAAATCATCTTCACCATAATGCCTTGGTCATACAGTGATAGATTACTTTGAAATATGATAGCATTTCCAGCTATGCTGAGGTATTCATTGAATGATAGTTCTTTCCACTTTATTTCAGGGATCAGCTGTGAGTCACACAAGTTCATCCAAAAAAACAGAAATTAAAGTCTACTGGAATGCTCCAAGCAGTGCTCCGAATCACATACAATTTTTGTGAGTAGAAGAGTTTCCATCTCTTTTAGCCAATATAATTGAGTAATTATATTTTGTGTTATTTTTTATGCTATTGGACCTTCACCTTTATAGGAGAGTTTTGGTATAGTAATGATACCATCTTACTGATGCAATGGTTTGTTTTCTTCTTTGTTGTTTCATTTCACCTGTATATACCTAGCATCTAGTCTAAGACATGGTAGACATTTGTTGAGTGATTGACATATTGCACTACTTTAGTACTCATATGAGCCATCAGTTAATACTTGAGTGTACATGATATAAGGAGTAACACTTTCTAAAATATGTATGCTCCTGCTGGGTACAGTGACACATGCCTGTAATCCCAGTGGTTTGGGAGGCTGAGGCAGGAGGATCACAAGTTCAAAGCCAGCCTCAGCAATTTAGTAATGCCCTGAGCAACTTAGTAAGACTTTGTCTCAGAATAAAAAATGAAAAGGACTGGGGATATAGTTCAGTGGTTAAGCACCCCAGAGTTCAATCCCTGGTACCAAAAAGCAAAGTACCTTTTTGCAGCAATACCACTTGTAGTTTAGATAGTTAGAAAAGTAAACCCCTGCATTGCTTCTCAGAATTATAAAAATATCTATTTTCTTACTTCTGTGTACAAGTGGAAATGGAATGTCATAGAGTTATGTAAAGAATGGTGTCACACAAAGGCGCCAAAAACATGCATTGGAGAAAAGATAGCCTCTTCAACAAATGGTTCTGGGAAAACTGTAAATCCATATGCAACAAAATGAAATTAAACCAACAAAATGCACAAAACTAAATTAAATGCAACAAAATGCACAAAACTAAACTCAAAGAGGAACAAGGACCTAGGAATTAAACTAGAAATCATGGATCTAATAGAAGAAAAAGTAGACCCTAATTTCCATTATGTCGTATTAGACCCAACTTTCTTAATAAGACTCCTATAGTGCAAGAATTAAAATCAAGAATCAATAAATGGGATGGATTCAAACTAAAAAGCTTCTTCTCAGCAAAAGAAAAAATCAGTGAGGTGAATAGAGGGCCTACAGCTTGGGAACAAATTTTTACCACTCACACATCAAATAGAGCACTAATCTCCAGGGTATATAAAGAACTCAAAAATCTGAACACCAAAAAACCAAATAACCCAATCAACAAATGGGCCAAGGAACTGAACAGACACTTCTCAGAAGAGAATATACAATCAGTCAACAAATACATGAAAAAATATTCAATATCTCTAGCAATTAGAGAAATGCAAATCAAAACTACTCTAAATTTCACTACAAACAGAATGGCAGCTATTAAGAATACAAACAATAAGTGTAGGTGAGGATGTGGGGGAAAAGGCACACTCACATACTGCTGGTGGGGCTGCCAATTGGTGCAGCCAATATGGAAAGCAGTATGGAGATTTCTTGGAAAACTGGGAATGGAACCACCATTTGATCCAGCTATCCCTCTCCTTGGTCTATACCCAAAGGACTTAAAAACAGAATCCTACAGGGACGCAGCCACATCAGTGTTTATAACAGCACAATTCACAATAGCTAAATTGTGGAACCAACCCAGATGCCCTTCAGTAGATGAATGGATTAAAAAAATGCGGTGTATATATACAAATATTACTCAGCAATAAAAGAGAATAAAATTATGGCATTTGAAGGTAAATGGATGAAGTTGGAGAAGATAATGCTAAGTGAAGTTAGCCCATCCCAAAAAAACAAATGCCGAATATTTTCTCTGATATAAGGAAGCTGACTCATAGTGGGGTTAAGAGCGGGAGCATGGGAGGATTAGACAAACTCTAGATAGGGCAGAGGGGTGGGAAAGGAAAGGAGGGGGCATGGGGTTAGAAATGATGGTGGAATGATGGACATCATTATATAAAGTACATGTATGAAGACACGAGTGGTGTGAATATACTTTGTATATAAACAGAGATATAAAGAATTGTGCTTTATAGGTGTAACATGAATTGTAATGCATTCCACTGTCATATATAACAAATTAAAATTAAAAAAATTATTTTAAAAAAACAAAAAACAAACAAGAAGAATGGTGTCGCATATGCATATTTCAAGGGAAAGATTGCTCACCTGACATGTCTCTGTTTTCTGCTCAACTTTGTCCACAGACCCCCCAGCACACAGTAACAAAGCTTTGCACCTGTGTGTTAGGTGAATGTGAGAACAGGAGTGTGACCCTGGTGAGAGTTGGTGGTTGCTTTTGCAGCCTCTGTAGTAGCTGTCTGCCGCTCTTCATGCCCTTTGGAAGCATGTGAGCGATACACTGTGAAATGAGTAGTACTTTGTTCTTTATTTATCAAGGAGCAGAAATCTGTGCAGGTTAGTCCTTGAGTGTGACACTCATGAGTGCTGTTAGCATGTCCACAGAACAGATAAGCAAGAACAGAGAAGAGTGGAGGAAACAGTAATTCAAGTTCATCTAGTGATGGAGTGGAAGAGAGTCAGAGATTTGCCTCCGATGAGTTGTATGTTCCAGTTCACCCCCCCCACCACCACCTTTTCTTCCTTTAAAGCTTTGATTTGATTATGATGGACCATAATCAGTGTTTTATCTAATCTCACTGGTACTGCATTTCAGAGTCACGGTTGTTGAGAAGTATAAAATCTACTGGGTGAAGATTCCTAGTCAGATAATTTCACAACCAGATGCGCTTCCTTTTACAACACTTAAAGCCACAGTATCACCTTTGTCAACACCAACTCCAGTTTCCCGTTTAACCAAACTAGTAAGTAACATTTTTGTATCTTCACCAAATGCAATTAAAAATACAATAGAAAAAAAATTTTTCTTGGAAATTGTGGTTCTATTTTTGGCAAAATGCCCAGAGAAATAGCTGGTCTGGGTTGTGGCAGCAAGTTTTTGGAATCTCTGTAGAAATCTGAAGGAAGTTTCGTGGCAACATTATGATTTATAGGTTGGAATAAAGGAAATGCAAGACACCCTGCATGATGAAAGTGTGGTTATAATATTCACAAGTACTCTATACTAACAAGTGAATATATTTTCATTAAAAAAATAAAAAATAAATATTTAAAAAAACAAATAAACACACACACACAATCAATCAATCAATCAATCAATCAATAAATAAATAAATTTGAGGAAGTTCCTTCCTTCCTTCCTTCCTTCCTACCTTCTTACCTTCCTTCTTTCTTTCCTTCCTTGTGGTCCAGAGTCAAACACAGAGAGGAATCTTAAACTAAATTTAGACAAGATTTGAGGGAGATTCTTGAAGTGGTAGTATAACTCATATCCTATTTCATAATGAGTACTGAGGACTTCTATATGCCAAACCCCAGAAAGTTTCTTGCAACTCATCAGTTAGAATTTCATCTAGACCCTCTGATTCAAAAGAATTATGATTGAGAAAACATCTTAGAAAGGGTATGTGAAATATTAGGAAGAAGTGTTCTACTGAAGGAAATTCTGATAAATTAGACTGCTTACTTCAGAAGTGGATATAATGAGAGTGATTTGAGGCAGGTTGTTACAGTTGAGAAAATAAGCTTGGGGCCTGAACCCTGACTTTCCTAGTTTTTGTGGATATTTCAAGGGATTACTCAATTTTTTCTCGGTTTCTTCGCTTATAGGATCAGAAACAATAATATCTCTCTTTTAATACACTGCAAGAATTGAACAAAATAGTGAATATAGGTTTCCCAACTGTGCCTGGCACTTAATAGATATTCAGTAAACATTAGTCCCTTTTCTCTTTCTGTCCTTCTTTTGTCTTTATTTCTTTGTTCACGTAGTCACGACTAAGTAAATACTCCTATGTAAGATTAGTCTTATTTTGTTTTTCTTCTCTTCTGCATTTTAAAATATGTGTATGACATTATGTTTGATGATGTTATCATGCAAGTGGCACTTTTTTGATTGTAAACAGTTATGTCTGTTATTTGTAGAGCTCTCACTGTGCTCTTAATGCTTACTTGAAAGCTGCTATAAGGGAATGAAGAGTTTATACTTGAGCTTCTAGTAGGAATTTGCTGACAATATTCTTGTTTTTCCATGGACTCATAAAAGGCATTAGCTCTTGTAGGAGCTTTTACTGTTTCTTTGTGCTAAGCATGTTGTCTCTAATTATAGGGAGGTTCTTTAAGAATTGTTAGAATTCTAGCATTTTTAGTGCTAGAAGAAGCCTCTGGTTCTGTTTCATTTAGATTTTTTAGTTTTCCTCTTGTGCAGTTGAAGGTAAAGGGCATCAATCCTTTGGCTACTGTGATGGAGTGAAGGAGGGAATAGAGATCAAAGTCATGTTTCTTAGTTCCTAGTGGCTTGGTCTCTTCATTTCGTTGTGATCAGTTTTAGCCTACTTATCTAAAGTTAATATTTAACTTGCTTCTGAAATATACTCACAGCCATTCTATCAGGGTCAACTTATTTGGTCTGTCAAACTATAGAATTGACTTTTTTTTAGACCCTTCCTTTTATATAGCATACCAAGCAGCTCTGGGTTAAATCATTGTAGATCTTTGTTTTTTCCTTTCCCCACTAAATTATTAATATTTGAATGGTGCTACATATCAGGGTAACTTATTTTCTTCTATTACTTTACAGTTTTACAAATTTTAGTATCTTATTTGAATCTGAATTTTGAAAGCAGTATTCAAGATCTAACTATAAAAACTTGCCAAGATTTGTCTGCTTTTAAAAATGCTGTTTCTGAGGATATTTGTTAGACAAGATTGCTAACATGGACATATTCCTTAAGAAGTTTCAAAATTTACCAGAAATTTTGCTCTAGAACATACTTATGTGAAATATTTTGTGTATTGAAGAAACTTTAATGTTCTTGTATCATTACAGGCAAACTAGTATAAAGTTTTTCCAATCTTAATTAAAATTAAGTTTAAAAGTTCAAAGTCTAATTACTGTTTCAGTCATTTCAATTTGTGATGTGTCTTCTATTCCCTTGTTTGAATTCTTATTATGAAAATTTTTTCTCATTAAAACCCATACTTTAAGGTAGCATCTGCTCTGTGATTGGTAATGAACTGCTTATTTAATAATTAAGATTTTTTTCCCTCCTGTCATTTTTCTAGTTCAGTGCCTCAGACTGTGGGAACAAGAAGTTCTGTATTAGAAGTCCTTTGAGCTGTGACCCAGAGAAGGAGCAGGCCTGTGTCTTCTTGTCCTTCACAAAACATGACCATTCGGTGATGGTTGAAATGAGTGGTCCCGGAGAAGGCTATTTATCCTTTGCATTTTCTCATGACCGATGGATGGTTAGTTCCTCTCACTTACATAAGTGGTAATGAAAGGAGAATCACTGGAGTGAGCTTTAATCAGCAGTAGATTAGCTCTTTTTTCCAGAGTCAAATGATCATACTTATGGGTGGAGTGGGAAAGGAGAAACTAATTTGGACATTTCCAAGTTAAATGTATCATGATTTTAACATTTGGGCAATTATGCCTTCAAGAACAGGCTGTCTTAAGAATAGTTGGAAAGATCATTTTATTTCCAGTAGATTTGCTGCTTGATGTCTGTCTCTTTGTGATAAAGCAGGAAGATGGTTAAAAACTGTGCCTAAAATGTCATGTTGGTAATGCTTTCCAAACCATAGTGTTACTCAAGTGTCCAGAACTAAAGTGTGTGTTCCTGCTCTCAGTGTTCCTGTTTTAGTAGTCGTCAATGTATTTCACACACACAGAATTAAATCTGTGTATGCAGGCAAAATGGACTGATCACCAGTGGGCTCCTTTGTCAGATATACAGAAAGCAGCATTTGTTCCAGCTGATTCTTGCTCCCCCTGGGTGGTGCTGAATGGATTAAATGATTCTGTAGGTGGCAGCCTTGTGCTTTGGTGTGGAAGAGCAGCGTGATGCATAAGCATCCTGATTTCCCATGGAGAAGGAAGAAGAGCCTTCTGCCAGGACAAGTCCTGTTCAAGCAGAGTTGGCAGTGGGGGATCTGGATGACCACCAGTGGAGAAAGCTCCTGATTGCCACATTAGCAAAGGCAAAGAGTCTTTTGAGAGTTTTCTTCCTGTCAGGATATAAAATTAGCACCACTTCTTTGGAGACTCAAATTTAAAAAAAAGAAAGAAAGAAAAGGAACTCTGACATGGCTCTAATAGAAGAACTAATGTTGTCTCTAAAAGTGTGCTTTAATCATATTGGTCCTGGTGTACCTGCCTCAATTATCACAAGAAGTCAAGTGTGACATTTCTTAGGTAGTGACATTTCAGTATATGTATATGATTCCAACAGTTTACTGTTTGGCTTTAGAATGAACATGCTACCCTCTTGCATGAACAATAGGCTATATCTTAAATCTGTGTTACACAAAGTATGTCATGTGCTTAAATTTTTTTTAAAGAAATTTTGAATCTTTACCATTTAAAGTTGCTTTTGTGGGAAGCTTTATATATTTTTATGGAAAATAATGCTGCAATTGTTCAAAATAGTTTTTCTTCTTCCATTTGTAATTACTATCAGAACTGTAGCCTGTTCTTTTGGGTGTTCTCAGTGCAGGCAGGAACAATCAAGTTTTGTGCATAAGAGGAATAATAAAATGGGGTTAAAAATCAAATAAGTATAAAGCTAAAACAAAGGGTAATTAATGCTTGTGTAAGTGCGCTATAACTGGCTATGAAGGAAATTCTGAGGATGAGTCAAAAAGGATCCAAAGGCCTTGTTGAATAAATTTATAATTTCATTAGGGTTCATCTCTGAGATATAGTACTCATTTAGATAAATACTCTAGTCACTTTAAAAAACAACTCATTTCAGTCACTTTATAGCTCAAATTGATGTGTTCATATACCAACACATTTCTTTTTACTGGTCACATAAAGCCTGCAAGGAGGAGGGAAGGACATTATCATTGTGTTGAATCTGGTAATAGGTAGACAACAGGTAGTCTGGTTATTTCTGTACCAAATTGTAGGCACCAATGGCATAAAAGCTTTATCTCTAATTCAAGATGTGTTTATCTTATTAGAAATCTTATCTCTTTCTAGTGTAGTGCTCATCAAAAATGTTTATAAAAAAGATTTAATTATGCAGGTGCAGTTGATTTACAGAGCAATCCTATTTAATGAGTAAAATCATTTGTACACCTGTTTGCCTAAATTGGCGGAAATGAATCGTCTTCAAAATATATTTTAAAGTGGTTATTTCTATTTTGGGTTGTTATTTTTAAATTTTTTGGTATATTTTTATGACCTGCTATTTTTTGAGTATATAATATACATTTAAATGCTGAAGGTATCTGATGTTATGAATACAGATTAGTAACCTAAATCATACCTTTTTAAAATTTGGTTTGTAAATTAATGATAGCAATTGTTTTAGTATTGAACATCATCACTAATTGATGAACAGTCTAATTTTCCGTATTTTTGCTAATGATGACTTGCTAATCTCTGAATTTTAACTGAACTTCCTAGTATTTAAATCTTCCCCATCTGAGATATTTTGTAAATAACATAAAGTCTATACAAATCTGTGTATATATATATATATATATATATATATATATATATAGATATAGATATATAGTAAATGATATCTGTATACATTCTGTAAATAATATCAAGTCTATACATTATTAGCTTCTATTTTTCTCCTTCCCTTGCTGAGTAGAAAAAAACCTCAGACTCAGTTTACCCCACTATATGTTCACAACATTAATCACTTCTCTGACCCCAAAGATGTGGGGATTTTCCCCCACAAAACAAGTAACCTATTAGTTATGTAGTGGATATCAGCTGGGTGTCCTCTAATTCAATTCTGTTCTGACACCATATACCGGGAGATAGTGCCAGACCCTACAGCTTGACACAGTCCCCAAGACTACCCATCCTCTTGCTTAAGACGCCAATCACAAGACCTGTTTTTTGTTGTTGTTTATGAAGTGCTGAGGATAGAACCCATGGCCACACATGCTAGACAAGAACTCTATAGAGCTACATCCCAGCCTGACCTGGATTGTTTTACATGTACTTCTGACTCCATGGGCTTCCCTGTGCAACCTCCTTGGGTTGAATTAATCTCTTAGAGCTATTCATGGAACTCAGTGAAGCACTTGTATTTACTGGTTTATTATAAATGACAGTCGCAAAAAGTATGGATAGAGAAGCATATATGAGGATGTATGGAAGAAGGGGTATGGAGGGCATGTCAGCCTCCAGGAATCTCCATATGTTTAGCTATCCACTAGCTCCCTGTGCTTCTGGGGCTTTATGGAGGCTTCCTAATGTAGGCATAACTGATTAAATTATTAACCATTAGTGATCACCTTAACTTTTAGCCCCTTTCTCCTCCTTAGAGGTTGGAAGATGGGGTTCAAAGCTCCAGCTGTCTAACACTGTAGCTACCTAGGGGCTGTCAGAGTACCAAGAGAAAATCATTTGGAGATTCCAAGGATTTTTATAGTTGTATGCCAGGAGACGGTAAAGAATATCACATATATATTTTTGCAGCATTACACTTGTCCTGCATCAACTTGCTGCATACATAATCTCTCAATGGTCAGATTCTAGGATATTTCTAGTTCTGATCTCTCTTGGACTGCAGATTGTGGGTTCCAGTTGCTGTTTGGTCTCATAGAGATGAGTGTTCTTGGATAACATAAGTCAACATCTTTAAAACTGAACTTATTACTATCTCCTGTCTTTAATTCTTTTTATTGCATTGTCACTATCTCTGCCCTTTTCTTATACCTTCATTATCTGCTCTTGCATTGATATAGGACCTCTCACTATCCTTCCTGCCCCCACAATTATCCCTCTGCATTTTTTTTTTTTTTTTTGTAGTGGGGATTTGAACCCAGGGATGCTTTACTAATGAGCTACAACCTCAGTCTTTTTTATTTTTTCTTTTGAGACACGGATCTCACTAAATTGCTTAGGACCTTGCTAAATTGGCTGAGCCTGGCCTCAAATTTACAATCTTCCTGCCTCAGCCTCTGAGTTGCTGAGACTACAGGCATGCACCACCACTCCCAGCAGCATTTCATTCTTCACACAGCTGGAATTCTCTTCCCAAGACAACTGAGATCATGTCAAATATATCCCCCAAACTTTTGATGAATGTTTAGTAATAATAAGAAAATTGTTTTTCTTTAACATGGCTCCCAATACTCTTCAAAGCCTTGGAAAATACCCGTTGGAATTTTTAGTCTTAGAGCTCTCTCCCCTCTTTATATATTTTAGCTAACAAAACTATTTCCTAAAATTTTCAGGTTTTTTTATACCTGTTGTCTTAAAAATTTCTGAGATTGGAAAACTTTGCCTTTAATCTGAGCTCTACTTTGTCCTCATTTAAATATGCGTATTCTCTAAGGTCTGGTTAATTACTGTCTTTTTGGATAAGCTTTTTCCAATTATCTGGCCATTTATAATTTGTCTTTTCAGAGCACTTTTCCTAAATTTCTATTTTGTCATATTTCCTGTACTGTTGTAACTGTCTTCTCCACTGAGGAGACAGCCATATTGGCGCCTCCTCAGCCATATTGGAGCCATTTTTATTTCTCCCTTAGTATCCATCACCGAATTTTCTCAGAGTGTTTTCTCATAGGATTTTAAATGTTTGAATCGAGAGGGTCAAACTTGGGGAAGAGCTTCAGTTCATCCTAGGGATTTGGTGGAACTTTTTGTTGTTGACAAGGTGTCTTGCCATGCTGGTCTTGAACTCCTGGGCTCAAGCATTTCTCCCATCTCAGTCTCCCAGGTAGCTGGAACTACTGGCTTGTGCCACCACACATGAAACTGGTGGGACATATGATGTGTGGTTCCAAGCTGCACACTTGGAATTTCTGGAACTGCATGGAGCTTAAGATTGTGGTAACATCTTTTCTTAACTTTTCATTTGAAGTAATGAGGACTGAGTTACCCATTCTCTGTCTTCCTCTTACCCAATATTTGGGGAGACTCCTTGTAAGTGACTTCTTATCAGTCTGCCTCAAAAGCAACTGTTTTATTGTATTATTAAAAAAAAAAAAAAAAACAGAAGAATTCCTATGTCTCATTCATGGTAGATATTCTAGAAAACACACATTGTTTAAGATCAGAGTTCAGCAAGCTTTTTCTTTGAAGGACAATACAATTATTTTAGAGTTTGTTGGCCATGTGTTCTCTGTCACAATTACTCAGTCCCATTGTAGAAATGTAAAAGCAGCCATAAGATATACATAGTGGATCAGTGTGGCTGTGTTTCCGTAAAACGTTTATGGACACTGAATTTGAATTTAAGATATTCTCATTCAAAAAATAGTCTTTTTTAAATTTATTAAGCCATTTAAGTTTGTAGATACTATTCTTAGCCCATGAGCTGTATTAAACAAGCTTCAGGTTGAATTTGATCTACAGGCTTTAGTTTGTCAATGCTTGGTTTAAATCATTTCTGTTCTAAATTTCTTTAGTAATTCTGATTTAACTCTAAAGTCATGTAACAGAGAATAATTGCTTGGCTAAGATTATGTCCTTGGGAGTCTTTAATTAAAAAGTGGAACATGTTAAAATACATTTGAGTCTGAAAGTAGAGAAATATGTTGGAATTTCACAGTAGAATTTATAGCAAAATCATTTTAATCTGATAGTCTTGGATCTTATTTAAGAAGTTAGTTAGTGATGAGAGCTGGGTGTGATGGGGCACGGCTGTCTTTCCAGCTACTCAGGAGGATGGCTGGAGTACTGCTTTAGCCCAGGAGTTCAGGGTCAGCTGGGCCTTATAGAGAGACTATCTCTTAAAAAAAGGAGAAGGTAAAGTGGAGGGGGGAACTGACTGAAGCACATGAAGGACCTAATGAGATAACTTATGGTCTACAGATGATAACTTAAAATGAAGATTATTTTTTGTACATTACTTAAAGGTACTTTGAAGTTGCAACCTGCCCTCTAATAGTCACTTACAAGAATAAGATCTAACTTTCTGAGTTAAGGTATATTAGAAACTAAAGGATAGACAAGAGTTATAGTGGCAAAAAAAAAAAAAAAATCTTCTTGAGATCAGATATTTTTGTCTCAATTTTATAACGTATAATCTATTCACTATATGCATTATGTAGCAATATGTCTTCCATCTTAAAAATTACCAAAAATATCCTATATGATGCAGTGTATTCCTAGCTATTAAACTATGTAGTACATAGATATTTATCCACAGGTAAATATCTGGAAGAATGTTCATGGTAAGTTAAGTGAAAAAGAGGTAACAAATCTGATTAAGGAAAAAATAGGTATAAATACAAATAAGTTTGAATATACACAGACACCAATAGTGGCATCAATTAGTGGTGGGTTTATAGACATATAAACATGTTAGATGCTTAATTTTTATTTATTTATTTTTGTGATGTTTGGAGCTAATTCCAGGGCCTTACACATGGTAGGCAAGCACTCTACCACAGAGTAACATTCCCAGCTCCAATACCTCTATTTTTTTTAAATATTTGTTTTTAGTTGTCAATGAACCTTTGTTTTATTTATTTTTATGTGGTACTGAGAATTGAACTCGGTGCCTCACACATGTTAAGCAAGCGCTCTGCCACTGAGCTATAACCCCAGCCCTGCAAAACATTTATTTTGATCTCGTTTCACACTGAAATTTGAGTGCTTCTATATTCTAAGAAATTTTAAGTAATAATTGGACAGTTAGTTCTCTACAATTCATGATTTATGTTTGAGTTGGAAAAGTATGTCTAAAAGCATCAAATAATATTTGATTAGGGATTCTTAAAAATACCTTTAAACTTTTATCACTTGCAATTGTTTTTCAGGGTAATGATGATGCTTATTTGTGTATCAATGAAGGTCAGACTGTTCATGTACAGCCTGCACATTTTTCAGGGCGAAGTCACCCTGTAATGGACTCTAGGGTGAGTGTGAACATTCTGGGAACCTCTGCCTGGCTGTGTACCTTCCTGCTATCTGGCTGTCACTGGCATGGCTGTGCAAACATAGTCTTTGACCCCCACAGTCATCAGCTTAACCCAGCAAGGGCCTGGCAGCAGCTTTTCTCTCTCATAGTGATCTCTGAGAAACTTCTCTGCACTTTAGAAAGCATAAGTTTCTCTTATAGGAAAAGATGAAGTCTTGCTTATGTCACTTAAATGCTTGTTGCATCTTATAAAAAGGTATTTTATGGTTTGTTAACATGGTCAGAGGTTTTGCCCCTTTTCAAAAGTTTGCAGACAGGTATTTTAAAGAAGAGACTTATGTTAGTGACAGCAGTTATTTCTTGACTGGTGAGAAAGAGGAACATGTATGGTAAAGAATGGTGCCTTGGGCAATGTCATTGTGTGCCCATTGTGGCATCTATGCCATTTCTGTTGAGGAGTTTCTCTTTCACAGGGCAATTGACCAACAAATGGCTCTGAAGAGCAGTAGCTATTACTCAGTGACATAGCAAATGGGGTCTGACTAAGAAGTAGCTATCACGTAATGACATCACTGTGCATAGCTTTCCCATGGGCTTAGACTCCCTCAGGTGGCTTGGAACTTCTCCCCACCTACAGGTTGCATGAGGCCACTAGGGTGTTACCTGTTAGCTTCTCAAGTATTTTTGACTGTGTGCTAGTGCCAGATGGAATTAGCACATCTGCAAAAATTTCTAACCTGGGTAGAGGGACTGTGGGTTTCTGGCTCAAAGTAAAAATTATATTTCTGCCAAGTGGGATAAAGACAAACTGGGAGAAAATGCTTCTTGTACTCTTCAAAGAGGAAGTGCAAAAACAATAACATTGCAGATGAAACATGCACCTATGATCTTAAAGAAGGAAATGAACAGGATTTTGAACATATTATATTTGCACATCTTTGGGAAGTGTTGAGAAGACCCATTGTGTGTGTTTGTAGGATCCTCTTGAGGCTGTGGCTTGGAGGTTGGCGGATGGTGTTATGCAGTGTTCTTTCAGAAGAAACATTACCCTTCCTGGGGTTAAGAATAGATTTGATCTAAACACAAGCTACTACATATTTCTAGCAGATGGTACAGCTAATGATGGTAAGTACATGGATAAAAACTATTTTTGCAAGTTCTTTTCTCTTCTTCCCTTTCCTCTTTTTTTTTTCCCCCAATGACTTTGTAATTGCTCATTTTTAGGTACACACTTGTGAATAAGGAGTTTTAACCCTTCTCCATTTTGCCTGAAAATCTGACTTTTGGTTAACATAGCTTTGTTTGAGAACTACAGAGTGTCAGCTGGGTACAAGGCAACATGGCTTATGATCAGAATGTTCTCTGGTTGCTAAAATGCATTTGGACCAGAAGAACTTTAAATACCTTGAAAAAACAAAACAAAACATATCTTTAGGTTTTCCTGAGTACAGTGAAATGAGCATGTCTTGGTGGGGATCCTAGAAACAGTGCCTTTGAAATTGTAATAAAGGTTGACTCTTATGGGAAAACCTGCCCAATATCAGTCTCATCTCCTTAGACCTGAATTTTGTCCTGGAGTTGGGGAGGAGGTAAAGAGAAGGCTCCTGGACAGCTGAATGAGCGGTTTGAAGACTTCCCATGGAGAAGGATGCCTGGCACTGCCTTGCTGGTGTGGTGTATTTCCTGCCCTTCATCTTTTCTCATAACTCTGATGCACCTTTAGATATTTGAATGCTTACTTATCTTTAAAAACTCATATGAATAGAACAGTTAGATTTTGTTTAAGATCTTGGCAAATGATACTTTGAGGACATGCAGGAAATACCAGGGTAGTATTTAGTCACTCATCTTTAGAGAGATACAATTGCTCTCAAGCTTAGAGAATGTAGCCTCTTTGAAAATGATGAAGTGGGCATATAGAATAGAAAGTCAGGGATCAGGTAGAAGAAAAGGAGGAGCAGGAAAGGCAGAGCAGGCAGAATTGTGAAAAGCCTTGAATTTTTATTATGTGGTTTAGATTTTCTACAATTGGTAAAGTGGAGCTTCAAAAAGTTTGAGGCAGGATAAAGTATCTTTTCAGTATTAGAGAAAATTTAGGAACATTTGTAGATTAATTGTGGGTGACATATAGTTATATTAGTTAAATAATGTAATCTTATTTGCACCAGCAGCAACAGTTTTGGTTTGAAAATAATTTCTTTGTTAAATGATAATATGGATAAAATTACTCAGTGTTTATAGAGTGTCAGTCAGTGTCTAAGAATTTTACATAGAGTATTTTCACATTCATAAAAAACAAACTAGATATGTACTATTATTATTATTCCCCTTCTCCTTCTTTCTTCTTCTTCTTTTTTTCTTTTTCTTTTTTAAAGTGATGGGGTTTTGTTATGTTGCCCAGGCTGACCTTGAACTCCTGGACTCGTGATTCTACCTCAGTCTCCCAAGTAACTGATACAACAGATGTGGGACATTATGCCTGGCTGTTAGTCTTTTTTGTCAAAGGTTCTTGCCTCTTTGTTGTTCATCTGTTCTAGATGAACTTTAGAAATGATTTGTCAAATTTAATGAAAAATTTATTGGTTTTGATAGAAATTGAAATGAAATTTTAGATTAATTTGGAGAATAATGACTTCATAATAATAACTTCCTATCTGAACATATTAGGATATCCTTCTTATCTAGATTCTGTAAAGTAGGGATATTTCAGTGAAGTGTTATGGTTTTATTCATGTATTCATATAGGGCTTATGTATTTTTTGTTACTTTTATCCTAAGTAATAGTTTTTTTCTAAAACAAACTATTATGAATGAGATTGTTTTTCATCCATTTTCTAGTTTGTTGGCTTTTAGGAAAGTTACCAATTTTTGAGTATTCATCTTGAATTTAGCCACCTACTCTTTTAGTTTATTTTCTTAGGTTTTCTGGATATATGTGATATATGAAAACTGCAATAGGTTAATAGCCTGTTTTCTTTCTTGTCTTATTGCATTGTCTCATTTTCTCAGAACAAATTATCCCAGAATAATCCTCACATTCCTGGGATAAGTCTTACTTGGTCATGTTTTATTCTTTTAATATATAATTTTAGTTCACTAATATTTAGTTTAAGCTTTTTCCATCTATATTAATAAGTGATTTTGGTCTATGGTTGGTGAATTGTATGTGCATTGTGTGCTTATGTGAATTCACACATACTAGTTTGGGTATCAGTGTACTGCAAATTTTATAAAATGAACTCTAAAAGAGTTTAAATTAAAAAAAATTAAAGTTATAAAAATTATTTTAATGGTAAGTGGAACCCATATATGTAACAGTCTGAGTGTGGATGAAAATACTTGGCTTACTATAAAAAAAAATCTACTATTATTCTGCAGAGTTACTACTTCTTTGTTTAATTTTTGTAATTCTCTGTTTTCCCAGAAATTTATCATTTTCATTTAGAGTTGGAATTATTTTTGGCTGATTTAAAATTGTGTGTAGTTATATATACTATAAGTATATATTGGTAGCTATATCACCTTGTTAATTTCTAACATTTTGATATTTTCTTTTATCTGATGGTTAGAGTTGCCATAAACTCAATGGATTTTATTGACCTTTATGGATTCATAGGTTACATTTTGTTGTTTTAAATGCATCTCAAATTAAATGATGGCTTTAATACTTTGTCTTTACCTTGATTATATCTATGCGTTTTGATATGACATATTTTCATTGTTATACATCTCTAAGAAGACTTGAGATTTTAGTTTTATTTCCTATTTAACCAGAGAGTTATTAGAAAGAATAGTTTATATACATTTATCTAGGTGAATCATTTTTCCTCTAGACTTTTGTTAAATTTTTTAGTTTTGCATTTTGGTCAGATGATATAACATGTAGCTTATATAATTTTTTGGAAACTATTAAATAGTCTGTGGCCTAATATATATCAGGCCACAAAATATTTATTTTGTTTGTAACAGAGGTTACTGTGTACGTGTTAATCAAATTTCTTAAATTATTTCTGCACTTATATAGTATTCTAAAAATATGTATGTACCATAATTTATTTACTCATTCTCCTAGTGATGAACATTTTTTTAGTTTGTTTACAATAATCACAGCATAAAAAAGTTGCTGTGAATATTCTTATTAATCTTTGGTTAAAAAAAAAGGTCTTTCTATAGGATAGATTCCTAGAATGAAAACACACACACACACACACACACACACTGAATAATTCTATACATTCCCACATTTAATTTTATATATAATAAGTACAAATAAAAACACTAATAATGTGTCCTCAATTTGTTTATGTCACAGTCATTTCGGATTTTGATTTGTGAGTCAAACTCACTCTGAATTGACCGTATGCCAAAATACCTTATCACCAAGTTGCTTTTGCTTTGTCTCTCCACCCTCTTCTCCCAGGTTCAATTTTTGTTAGTTTATTCTAGGATTTTAGATGTAGGTCAATAATTTGTAGATTTTTAAAAAATATGTATTCTCTTTCAAGAATTATATTTGACATTTTCAGGGTTTGTGACCATGATAGTATTGTTTTGACTTTTTGCTTAAGTCATTTCTTGCACAACAGCAGATCTTTTATCATAAATTTTCCATTTCTAGCTCTTGTTTAGATTCATCTCTCTTGGTGGATTGAATTATCTCTAATTTTTTTTTCAGAAGGAGAGTGTGCTCTTGCATATATCTTTTATGTTGCTTTCACAGATGAATGACCTCTCTGTAGATATTTAATTATTTTTTTATTACCTTTAGAAAGATTCTTTCTCCTCTATATCCATCCCTCAAGTCCTTCTCTCCTGAGAAACTAATTCTTTATTATCTTAAAAGTTTAAATTTTTTTTTTTCAGGTCAAATTTATAAGCACTCTCAGCAACCTTTGATTACATATGAAAAACATAATGTGACAGATTATCCTAAGAACATAGGGGGATCCAGATCTTCACTCCTTTTGAAGGTTCATGGTGAGATTCTTGTGTGGAATTATTAATACTTTATGGAATAAACTTACTGATGACTAAATGGTAGCAGGCATAATTTAGCAAATTTTCAAAAATATTTTATGTTTAATAAACATTTTCAGGTAGATTAATGATCTTAATGCTTGCTGATTTTGATTAAAAAGTAGAAAGTAGGGCTAAAAAAAGTATTCTAGTTGCTTCTAACTGCAGCCAGGGTTGAGTATCACTGAGTTAGTTAAATTAACTTTTATGAGACCATGATTTTTGGCATTTATTTAGGTAAATGCTAATGAAAGAATGGTCTTTGGTTTTGTTTGGTTATGACAGTAGTTTGGCTTCACAAGCGCAGATTTATTGATGAAGAACTGATCAAGGTGTAAGTATATGATGATGATAGGGAAATGGTACAGTGCATAGCCCCCATGCTCTTGATTGAGGAAAAGCACCAGGGAGGAAAGCAACAGCCTGGACACCAGGCTCTCTATCCTCTGGTTCTAGATTGGAACTTGATTCCTTTTGAAAAGTAGCCTGTCTTATTGTTGTAAAGATGGGGTTTTAACATAGGGAAATTGTATAGTGTAAGCATGCTCTTAGAAAACACGAGTGCCTCGGGGAATTTTCCTTCTTTGGTATTCTCCCTTTATATGCTTCAGAGTTATCTACAAATGTCACCACAATTAAGCTTAAGGGGATGAGATGTGAGAAGATTTTGAAATGACTGTAGACAGGCATAGTGTAATGCTGAAGAACACAGTTGCTGAAGCCAGTTTGGGTTAGAATCCTGATTTTGTACACTTGAACATGCTATTTAATCTCTCTGTACCTTAGTTTTCCCATTCAGAAAAATAAAACTGGAATAATAATTGCAAAATACCTCAGAGGATTGTTGTGAGGGTCATTTTGATTAATATGTGGAAAACACTTAGCTTTCTGGGATCATAGTAGGGCCAATGAAAGGTTAGCAGTGGTGGTAAGTGCTGGTACATAGGCTCTTTTTAGGTCGTATATGTTTTGCTGGCTGTTTATACTTTCTGAGCATTTGGGTTGGTCATTTAAGAAACAGCTTAGTTTGTGATGTCAACCATTGTATTTTTCTCACCTGTAGGTGCCTTAATGTTTGTGGCATGGATGACTACTGTTAGCATAGGGGTTCTAATTGCCCGGTTCTTCAGATCTGTTTGGTCAAAAGCTTTCTTCCTTGGAGAAGCAGCTTGGTTTCAGGTAGGTGAGGAAAAAAGTATTTAATGTAATTTACATATTATGTGAACATTACAACATGAAGTGTGTGTGTTTTGTTCTTTTTTTTTTTTTTTAATTTTAGCTATTTTGTGGGCTTAGGATCTTATTTTTTCCCTTTGGCTTCCTAACAATTGAGATCAGACAAGATGCTTGATGATTAAAAGACAGCTTTGTGGAAAGGCAGGCTGGATTGTTTGTCCTTTTGTAACATAGCCATTGGGATCCAGGTGACATTATACCTCTGTTTGTGAGGGGAGATGCTAGAGGAGCATTCACCCACTGTCTGAAGAAAGACAAGTCAAGGTAAGCTGGAGAGCGAAGAAAGAAATAGTGATATTTGCTGCATAGCAGAGCAGGGGTCTGCCTTTGGTTTATGGGCAAATGTTGGGCTATTCCTGACTTACCAAATTATCCCTGTGTGGGTGGGAAGAGAAACTGAAGGTGTTCCTTTCATGCTGTCCTTCCCAAAGGATGTGGAGTTAGTCTTCTATTGGGAACATAAGCAGGAGTCAGTTAAGTGCCCTTCACAGCCAAGCAAAACAACCTTGTCTTTCATGGGTCATGGATGACAGATTAGCACATATAGTGGAAGATCAGTGAGTGTGTTTTGAGTTAGAATGAAGATGCTTGCTTGTAGAAAAAAATACTGCTAATGGAATAGTTTTGACTTTATTAGAGGGTAGCCTTCATAGTCATATACATTTGTTGTCTAACCTCATTCCTCCTTACTGGTTGGCAGGGCTGTTTTATCTGTTCTCCCTTGCTGCAACGTGCCTGGCTGCTGCTCTCTGTCTGCCTGTTTTTGTGGTTATGCTCTTTCTCACTTGTATTTACTTGTTCTCCCTCTATTCTCCAATTTGCTCATGTGGATATTCCTAAATGGAAGAGTCTGTGCCTCCTGATTTTCAATTCAAATTAAAGTATGGTGTGTATGTGTGTGTGTGTGTGTGTGTGTTTAATAATGACATATATAGATACATTGAAGGTGAGTGTACTATCTCCTTTCTCTGGAATAGTTTTGATTCACATCAGTTATCCATAGTTCATTAACAGAGCCTATTTTCACTCTTAATATTCTCTTGAGTTGTACAGTGAATTGTACATTTCATATATTTTTTATGTAGCTACTCACTGATATCCCCAACTCGTCAGGAGACAGTATTTTCTGTTTCTTTACTGCCTCATGGCACCTGGTCTAGCACTGTGCCTCGTGGTGGAGCTTAATAAATGTCTTTGGGAGGAAATGAAGGACTTGGCAAGGAAGTGTGCTCCATGTGTGAAATTTGCATTCCTGCTGCTCTGTGTGTGTGAAGTCTTAGTAAATACTTTTGAATGCCGAGAATGGCAGCTTAGAGTTTTCTTTAAAGTTTAATGGTATATTAAAATTTTATTCTTATTGACCACAAGCTGTGCTTAGATGTCAGTCAGGTGCAAGCCTTCTGTGAATCCTACCCTGTGATCCTATTCCACCATCGCACTGACTCCTTCTCTTACACGTTTAGCTGCCTTTTTCTCACTTTGTCATCTCACCTTGCAGGTGCATAGATTGCTCATGCTTACCACATCTGTGCTCACCTGCATTGCTTTCATCATGCCTTTTATATACAGAGGAGGCTGGAGTTGGGTAAGTACATCTTAAACAGGATTTTTTTACATAAATCCATTTTGATGCCAAAGCAGGTTTCTGTTTCATTGGTGAATTATGGGTAAAAAGACATTCTTTTTGCATCCTTCTTAATTTTCTTTTTGGGTCATCTGATGACTGTCTTCAGTGCTTGAGCGTTGGGTTGGGTGAGGATGTCAGCACAGATTACCTGGTAATGAAATGTATTTTTAGGCTTCATCAGATGTACATCTATAGCTTAAGTGAGTTTTTCATTATAGAGTGGTGAAAATTCAAAGTGTGATGTTTATGGATCATGAACAACGTAAGTGGTTTCCTCGGACTGTGATTACTACCAAGCTGTATGTTACATCGGTGCTATGTGGCCATCTATGCTAAGTGCTTTCCTTGTGTTTTCAAATTTAAATGCCAGATGAAGTAGGTATTATGAAATAATGCCATATTATAAACGTAGAAACTAAGGCTTATTCCAAATGGTTTAACTCCAGCTCAGACCTTTGCCTTGGCTCACAAATCTATTTTAAGTATAGCTCATGTTCTCTACTGGCATGTTTAGGACATCTCAACTGAACATGTCCAGAATGGATTTCTTGGTCTTTTCTCCCCTTCCTGTTCCACCTGCTCCATTCCCATGTTAGCTGTTAGAGTTCCATCTTTAGACCAAATCTTGGAATTAGTAAGTGTGCTCTCCTGCACATCTCATATCTAATCCATCAGAAAACCCTATTAGCTGTATATTTAAAATACATCCATAAAGCAACACTCATAATTACCATCCCTGATTCTACTGTGTGGATTTGAGCCATCACCACCGTTTGCCTGAACTTTGACAGTAGTCACCTGTCTTGTCACTTCAATCCTTGCTCATATACAGTCTGCTTTTCTTAAAGAAGGCAGAGTGAATTTTTTTTAAAAGAATATAAATTAGATCATGCCATTCCTTTGCCCTGAACTGGTTTCTCTGATGTTTCTCAGTTGTACTGCATCAAAGCCCATGTCCTTCCATTGACCTCCATAGCTTGGCTCCCAGTTATTCTCCTCCTCCTCTCCATTGGCCTCCTTGTTCAATGGCAGACAGGCCAGGCATGCTTTGTAAAGTCTCGTTTTCTGATCTTTGCAAAGATTCTTCCTTAGCTTTCCTCATACCCTCACCTTCTTGAAGTCTTTGCTCAAATAACAGCTTCTCAGAGAGCCCTGTACTCCATTTTTTTAAATATTATTTCATAAAATTTACTTATCTATCAGGCTTTTTTCCTTATGTGCTGTCCACATGCTAGTATGCAAGCTCTGTGAGAGCTGGAACATTTACTGATCTATCCCTGGTTTATCCCAGGCATCCAGAGTAGATTCTGGTACATAATGGTACTTGGTATATATTTAGAAAATCAATGAGTAGGCTTATTGAGAATAGTGACAAGTCTGAGTTCAGAGCCTGTGCTTCCATTGCACTCTTCCAGTTTTAAGACAGAATTTGATTTCACAATTTAATATTTCAGAGTTTACGTTGGTACTGCAGGGTTAATAAGTGTGGATCCTGGATCATAGATAGTACTAGAAAACCTCCCTTCTGCCTTTTAGGTAGTTTATGGATCAGTCAACCTGGTTTTTTTTTTTTTTTTTTTAAACCAATAAAGTTTGTCTGATATGAATTGAGACATCAGAACTCTATTTTACCAGGTATTTGCAACAGGGTGTTTTAGGCAGCTTTCTCACCACTATGACCAAAAAGACCTGACAAGAACAACATTGAGGAGGAAAAGTTTATTTGGGGCTCACAATTTCATAGGTCTCAGTCTGTCCCAGTCTGCAGATGGCAGACTCCATTCCTCAGGGCCTGAGTCAAGGCAGAGCTTCAGGACAGAAATGTGTGGTGGAGGAAAACAGCTCAGAACATCACACCAGAAGAGAGAGAGAGAGAGAGAGAGAGAGAGAGAGAACACAGATTAATGCACTGCTTGGGTTAAGGCTGTCATAATCCAATCATTTCACCTATAAACATTCTTGAATTGTCTTATATACGAGTTTTTTCTTTGGGGGGGGATACCTCATATCTAAACCATAACAAAGGGTAACACTTGTTTTGTAATAGTCTTTGCATTTTATGAATAAAATAGTATAGTTGTTCTTCAGTATCCAGAAAGGATTAGTTTCAGGACTCCTTGGGGTACCAAAGTCTGCAGATGCTCAAGTCTCTTATGTAAAATACATATTACCTACAGACATCTTCCTGTATGCTTTAAATCATCTGTAGATTACTTATAATACTTAATGCAGTATAAATGCCATGCAAATACTTGTATTGTTTAGGGAATAACAAGAAAAAAGTCTGTACATATTTAGTACAGATGTAATTATTTTCTCAAATATTTTCCATTGGTGGTTGGTTGACTCTACAAATGTGGATCCCACAGATACAGAAGACTGACTGTGTGAAGGTTAAGGGCTCTATTCATTAGCCAAATTTCTTGGGTTCAAATCCTGGCATCATCATGTATCTCCTGGGACACCTTTGGGCAAATTACTTAACTTCTCTATCCTTTTGTTTACTTATCTATGAAATAGCGATGGCATAGTATCCATCCATAGTTTTTCTGTGTGGACTGGGAGTTGATTAACTGAAAACACTTTGGATAATCCCCAGAACATTCTAAATCCACATAAAAAATTTTGTTGTTGTGGCTGTTATTTCTTAAATTAAAGGTTCTTTAACCTCCATCATTGTGGTTGTACTTTTCTTTGTGTATAATTGAGTCCAAGATCTGAACATGTTTTTATATTGTTCTTTTATCATCCTTTAGTTCACCTATTTACAAAGATTCCAGCATAGTTTGCACACCACCTAGTTTAGCTGTTCCTCGTCACAACTCTATTGCCCATTGGAGGATGGGAGTCAGTGACCCCAGACCATAGCATCTCTCCAACTAATTATGTTATATGCTGGAGAATCTTCTCAGCCCTTTTCTCAAATGTTTATGTGAAGTCATTGTTCAGAGCAGTCTAATCCAATTACTTGCTATTTGGAGGAGCATACAGCATCACTAAGGAAGGAATATCATAGAAATTGTTGAGATTCAATGTTGATATTTTCCTTAAGTTAAACCATCTGAACAGAGGAGATAAGCTTTTAGTACAGTGACAAACCTGGATGTTCATTTATTCAACAGATGCTTATTGAGTGACTAAGACTCTACTAAGCTCCAGAGTTGTAGTACCTGCAACTTAGGGAAACACAGAGGTTCACACAAATCATTATGACATGTTGAGATGACAGCTCTTGACATATTGATACCATCTAGTTCTACCTTGTTGCCTTTTATTTTTAGCATCATCATCATCATCATTGAATGTTTAGAGCCATGGAAAAACACTAAGGACACATTTGTATTTATTATTTTTAACTTGAGGATTTAAACTGATGAGATATTGAGACTATTAATATGTCGTGACTTTGTTCAGCATGCAGGTTACCACCCATATCTTGGCTGTATAGTGACGGCATTAGCAGTTCTTCAGCCTCTTCTGGCAGCCTTCAGGCCACCTTTGCATGACCCAAGGTACTGATAGCTTTTCTGCGTAAATGCTCTTACTGTGGATATTCTTAGTTGGCAAACAAATTCCTTTTTGAGTGGAAACATTTTTCATCTTACAAAACCTAGTGATAAATTTTATTTACTTTAAAGAGACTCTAAAATGTATTTCAGATATCTAATTCTCAGGCAATAAGCAAAATTACATGCTTTTTATTCTCTTGGGAACTCATTGTCATTCTGTCACTTCTAAGAAAATGGACTGGTTCTTTATTTTGGCAGAAGGCAAATGTTTAACTGGACTCATTGGAGTGTGGGAACAGCTGCTAGAATAATAGCAGGTAAGTAATTGTGATGCCACTTATCCATATATAATTGCTGGCTGTGTATATTGTGAGTTGTAATTTGGCTTAAAAGATTTTTAGATGCATTAGTAATTGGAGTAATTGGTTGTTGAGGAGAAATCAGCCTTAAACATTGAAATCCAGAAAGTAATTTCAAGGGGTAACAATTTAAGTCATTATTTCAGTTTAAAGTTTTAAAAGTGACTTTAAAACTCACCTTTTAACACTTTCTTTTTCTTTTTATTAGTGTTTACCTTTACCAGTAGAATAAGCTATGCTGACAGGCAAACATTTGAGCAGTTCAAGTTGAGGGTCATTTGTGAGTTGGGTTGAGGAGGGGCTGTTGGTCCAAGCCCTCAGTCTCCAGGTCACTTCCATAGGTTGGTACCTCCCAGGGGAAATGGCTTTCAGAAGGCAGGTATGGTTACCCAGTACATATTGATGCCTTATATAGCAGACCTGCATGCAGACACCTCCTCCCTTAACATTTCTGTGGTCTATAGGATTTAGCCTGGAAGAGGGAGTACAATTGGCAGTGGTGTCCATAGTTTTTCCCCTTCTTACACTGGAGACTTAAAACTTTCTGGAAAGTTTGAATGCCTCTTTCTAAAAGGCAGCTCATAATTTCCTATCTTGCCTGTGTAGTCTTACAGTTAAAAAAAAAAAGAATTAATTACTCTTTGGTCTTCAATATTCTTCTTATTCCTCTCACCAATTTTAGTATGTTTTAGTTGATATAATGCTCACACACAATTTTATCTTTTGGTGGGGACCATAATTGAATATAACATTTTTTCTTTTACACTCAGTGGCAGCAATGTTCCTGGGAATGGACTTACCAGGATTGAATCTTCCCCATCCATGGAAAACCTATGCAATGATTGGATTTGTAACTTGGCATATCGGGACTGAGATTGTTCTGGAGATACATGCTTACCGACTCTCTCGAAAAGGTAAAACTGCTCTAAAAGCTGTTCTGTGTAGAATCACTTTTATACAAACTATTGGAATTTCATTAGCTTCTTGGTACTAAATGCTTGACTGTTACTTGGTACCTCTAACACTTTCTGCTCACAATTCAGCCAGTGGTAGCAGTTGTGGAAATTTTATGCCTTGGTGGCTCTATTTTATTTATTTATTTATTTATTTTTGTATATGTTGGTATTAGAATTTGTGAGTAAAAATATAAAGGAGAGATTTCAAGTTTTAAGGAAGAAGTCCTCTTCATAACTACTTTCACTGTGCATGTTGATCTGACCTGAGCCAGTGCCCATGAGAATTTGGAGTGCCTGGAGTTGAGGGAACTCTGAGAGGAAGGAAGAAGAGATCCAGAGTCGACACAGGGCAGAGCTGCAGACGGATTTTATCTATTTGATAAACTTACTAAGTGCTGTGGCTTAGGTTGGCATGTACATAAATATATAGCTGGGAGGACCTACTTTTCTTATGCTTTCAGTGGAAAGCTCTGTTTGGTCTTAGTGACAAGGAGGGTCAAGATGCCTATAGCCACCATAGGCTTAAGTGTCCTCTCACTTTCAGGCAAGTGATCTTCTAAAAACAAAAACTCTTTGTTGTCTAGAGTACATGTTGTGAATCTAGAAGGCTGGGCAGCTTTTAGGAGCCAAATAGTGTATCCCTCCTGCCACTTTTGGCTTTTGTCAGGGTTATGTACATGGGATCGCTGAGGACCACTAAATTATGGCTTACTGTTTAAAATACATACATTCTTAAAACTTGGATTGCTATCATATGTTAATTAGCTTGATTTAGCAATTCCACAATGTATACATATATCGAAACATCATGTGATACTCTATAAATATATATATATATATATACAATTTTAATTTGTTAATTAAAAAAGTAAAATTAGAATGATTTAGATTTTTAAGCTTTTGGTGTGTTTATTGAGTAGGAGAGCTTATTTTAGGTCCTTTGACAGATGTGTGCTGTATTCTAGTATGTCTCAATTTGTGAGAGTCATAAATGTTCAGGAAGTTTGTAAGATTTAGTAACTTGAAACTGGAGAACTTACACCCTGGAAATTGGTGCACACAAAGAATTGGGTTTTATTTTATATTTCTGAGAGTTAGTTTGCCTGCTTAACACTGGACTTATAAACATATGTTGTTCTTGACAGTTGAAATATTGGATGATGATAGAATTCAGATCCTTCAGTCACTTACTGTAGCTGAAGCAGAGGTAAGCCCTTCTTTTCATGTTTATTGACATAAACCTTGATGATGGTACATTATTTTATATCTCAATTTTTCTTTCAGGGCCATGCTTTTAAAAAGATGGTGTTGGCAATTTATGTCTGTGGGAATGTGACTTTCCTCATCATATTCTTATCTGCAATCAACCATGTGTGAGCAAGGAAAGACCTCACTTTTTGTGGGCCGGGTAATAATTATCATCAAACCAAAGAAACATGAATCCCGTACTGACTGTGGGAGCATACTCTTGGATTCTTATTTAGAAGAGTAGGATCATGTCTAGAAAGGGATTCTGAAGTTCAATTTCTACAGAGCAAGTTCAGGAAGGTCAAATGGGGTATAAACTGATGTCAGACCCTGATGTGTACTTCTGTGACTTAAAGGCAGCATTATACATGGAGAAATAACTCTCTTATATTCCAAGACTTTTAAGAAACTTAGAATTTAAGAAAACACAAGAACAATTTGGAAAAACAAAATATCATGCCATTAGGATAAAAGGGACATTTTATTAAGGTAAAGATATTTTGGCCTACAAAGCTGCTGTGGTACCTTACAGAAAACATTTTCACTAGATGGTAATCTAGATGGTCTTTGAATTTGTGTTTTGTTTGTTTTGGTACCTGGGATTGAACCCAGGGGCAGTTAACCACTGAGCCACATCCCCAGCCCTTTTTATATTTTATTTAGAGACAGGGTCTTGCTGAATTGCTTAGGGCCATGTTAAGTTGCTGAGGCTGGCCTCAAACTAGTGATCTTCCTGCTTCAGCCTCCCTAGCTGCTGGGATTACAGGTGTGTGCCACTGTGCCCAGTTGGACTTTTTATTAGAAACTGTGTTTTTCAATCTAGTTTTCAGGACATTTTATTTCCTCCCTGTATTTTAATGCTTTTCAGGTCAAAGGTGGAAGTGTGATAGACTCCATTGAGGGTTTCATTAACAATTATATTATTAGACTTATAATTTCTTTGTTAGCAATGAAATGCAAGTATACATATTTTGCCTAAATATATTATTTATTTATCGGCAGAGCTGAAATGATAATTTATATATTATTTTGAGTATAAGTCCTTACAGCATTTGGAGATTGTATTTCAAAACTACCAAAATTCATCCTTTTGGACATATTTAAAAATTATTTTCTTTACTTGTGAAAATAAAATAATATGGGTGGTTTTGTTTTGTAAGAAGCTCCTGCTGTTGTAATGGATTAGTACAGTCAACCCATTCCAATTATGGCCAGGTGTCATACTTGCTATGAGGACTTGTAACCAGCGGGTGGTGCTCTAGTACAAAATACTCATTTGTTTCTCTTGTGCTGTGATTCATTTTAGTACTTAAAACATTATGGGGTGGCATTTTCCTACATATTATCAGCTCTTCTTAATATTCCTTTGAAAAATTCCTGCATTTTTTGTTGGTTTAGGGCAGTGGTTGTAGAAACTTGAATTAGGGGCTGGTGTTATTATTTTCTAGTTTCATTTCTGTTTTCTAATTGTGGATATTTATAAGAGTTGTTGGATATTTCCTCTAGCAAATGTATACAATCACCATAGGCAAGGGAAACAAGCAAAATGTACGTTTTTAAGATAAAAAAGCATAGGGGTCATCCTTAATTTTTTAGGTATTCTTTATTTCTTTGGGTATTGTGTTATAGTTTCTGCTTGGTCCAAGAGCCTGATTTCTTTCTGTAAATAATGGCTTAGCTGTCTACCACACATCTTTTGCTGGATGAAGTGATATGGAAGTTTTCTTCATGTTGCTTATATAGGTGTTCAGCATAAGTAGCTTAGGGCATAGTGCCATGTTACTTATAATCTAAGCATTCCTTGTGAATGTCTATTAAAAATTAATATAGCAAAGTAAATGTGCACTAAAATATTTCAGTTTTTTTAATAAGGGGATTAAAAGCAAGACATTTCTCTTAATATGTTATATTTTATATCTGGGAAAGAAAAATTCTTTCAGGGAAAGGTGAGCCTTATTATGTTTGAGTTTTAAGTGGGCTTGCTGGGTTTCAACTGCTGAGGCCGATATCACAACTTTTTGTTTTTCACTGATTCATATGTTGGTGCTATTCTGATACTTCTTCAACTGACATATAGAACTGTACAAAGAAATATTTGTCACTTAATCTTAGTAGACCAGATCTTTTCACTAGGACCAAATTATGATTCTTTTACTGATGAATGATTGGTATCCATAAATTACAAACACTTATTCTTTGCTCTTCCCAGGTTTGATTCCTGTTTCTAGGTAGTTAAAAAAAATTCTTTTGATCTGTGTGATTGTTAAGCTTAAATCCTTTATACTTGGTCAGTGTTGCCAAAAACAGTGTGCAAAATCACAATTTTTTTTTTTTTTTTATTTTTTGTTTAAGAAAGTTGCTCTATAAAATAAAGTAAGTATTTTTTTTGGAAAAATATGAAACAAGTTCTAGAAAATTGTGGTTAAGGTAGCATTCATGACTGAGGCTACTTTTTATTTTTATTTTTTTATAGTCTGTGGAAATCAATTTTAAGTGTGCATAGGTAGTCTATAGCATGAGCTACTGAATAAGTGAAGCAAATTCACTTTAGTAGTTAGTTGGATTTATCAGGATTTCTGGCTCACTTTAATATGTGTTAAGTGATACCTCATCCCCTCCACATCTGGCCTCAGTCCAGGATGCCATGGGAAAAAGACAAATATAACAGATGCCAACTAGGAAGCTCCAGGGGAACATGTAACTGTTGGCTGAAATTCTGTTTATCTATATACTCTGGAAAAGCAGTGGGAAGAAAAGAACAAAGGTCTTTGTTTAAGAAAATGCTTTATAGGTGGGAATGAAAGAAAAGATTCTTCTAAGTTCTTTTCAAACCAGATTAGGATACTCACTGTTCCTATCCATATCCTGCTGCTTTCTTTCTTGCCTAGTTCCTACCAAGTTCAACTGTACCAGGGTCACTGAGGTTACCCACCTCGAATGGTCTTTCTCTTCCCAGCAAAAGCTAGTTTTTCAAGTTTGGTTCAAGTTCTTACTTCTCTTTGGAGTCTTCTCTGACTCTATCCAACGTGGGTCTCATTTGTCCTGACCAACAGGATGGTGTGGAATGGGAGGAAGCTCACTCTATAAGTTTAAAAAGGAGTGGGAGGGCTGGGGCTATAGCTCAGTAGTAGAGCACTTGCCTAGCATGTGTGAGGCACTTGGTTCAATCCTTAGCACCATGTAAAAATAAATAAATAAAGGCATTCTGTCCATTTACAAGTACAAAAAAAAAAAAAAAAGGATGGGAACAGAAGACCTGAGTATCCAGGTTTGCCTGTAGACTAACAAGCTGCATTATCTGCTGTGAGTCCCATTTATTCTGAAAAACCCGTGAACCCGTGTCACTGAACATTTGTGAGAACTGAGTGAAATGTGCCAGCCAGAGGTGCTTGCTATCTCACTGCCATTTATGCCATCTATGCTGTTTGATTACAGTATTAAACTTTAATAGTTTTTTGTCTATAAAATGTGTGCTTTGTGTTATGTAAAATACTTGATGTTTTTCTTGAAGCATTATGTTAAATTAAATGATACAAAAAGACAACCATTAAATGATTCCATTTATATTGGCACTTACAGTGGTCAAAAATTTGTGGAGAGAGAAGGTAGAATGGTGGTTATTGGGGTCAGGGGTGGGCAGTAATAAAGGGAATGGGAGTTGTTTAATGGGTTTTTGTGTTTGGGATGATGAAATGTTCTGGAGATGAATAGTGTTGATGGTTGTACAACGTTGTGAATGTATTTAATGTGCTGAACTCTACACTTCACCATGGTTAAAATGGAAAACAAAAATAAGTTATGAATAAATAATAAAAAAAGGTAGAAAAAAGTGTTTATAGCAGCACTATTCACAATGGCCAAATGATGGAAATGACCTATATGTCCCATCAATGGATGAATGGATTGTAGTGTGTACATACAGTGGAGTATTATTCAAACATAAAATGGAATGAAACACTACTACATACTATAATATGGACCTCACAATATTATACTAAATGAAAAAAATGAGACACAAAGGTCACATATTTATATGTAATATCCAGAATAGGTAAGTCCATAGAGACTGAAAGCAGATTAATAGGAAAACAGAGGATTGATGGCTGGGGTAACTGCAGTCCTTAGGGGTGGGATGGAGAGTTCCTGGAAGAAAACTTTAGAGATATACGTAAAGTCTGAAGAAAGGCATCTGTGGAAAACCTACAGTTTACATCATCATCAATGGTGAATGATGGGACACATTCCCCATTAGCAGGTTCAAGACAAAAGTCTTCTCTCAGGTTTGCATCAAAATTGTCTTGGAGGTGCTAGCAAGGGTAATTAAGAAAAGAAATGAAAGGCATCCAGATTGGAAATAAAGAAACAAAATTTATGACTTTTCATATACAACATAATCTATATGGGAAATCCTAAGGTATCCATCAAGCAACTACTAGAAGTAGTAAATGAGCTCAGCAGAGTTGCAGGATTAAAAAGTCAACATTTCCATCTTCAACATCTCTAGCAATTAAAGAAATGCAAATTAAAACTACACTGAGATTTCATATCACTCTAGTCAGAATGACAATTATTAAGAATACAAGCAACCATAAATGTTGGTGAGGATGTGGGGAAAAAGGTATGCTCATACATTGCTGGTGGAACTGCAAATTGGTGCACCCATTATGGAAAGCAGTATGAAGATTCCTCAGAAAACTTGGGATGGAACCAACATTTGACCTAGCTATCCTACTCGGATTATTCCCAAAGGATTTAAAATCAGCATACTACAGTGACACAGCCACATCAATGTTTATAGCAACTCAACTCACAATAGCTAAACTATGGAACCAACCTAAGTATCCTTCAATAGATGAATAAAGAAAATGTAGTGTATATATATATAAGGGATTACTACCCAGAAACTAGAGAATATCATGCTAAGTGAAATAAACCAATTCCCCAAAACCAAAGGCCAAATGTTTTCTCTAATATGTGGATGCTAATTCACAATAATGTGGAGGAGGGGCTATGGAAGAATAGAGTTACTTTGGATTAGGCAGAAGGGAGAGGAGGGAGTTGGGGGTAGGAAAGGTAGTAGAATGAATCAGATTATTACCCTATTTGCATATATGAATACATGACGGGTGTGATTCTACATCATATACAACCAGAAGAATGAGAAGTTATGCTCCGTTTATGTATGATGTGTCATAATGCATCATGTATAACTAATTAGAACAAATCAACATTTCCAAGTCAAAGAACAGTCTTAAAGTGAAATTAGGAAAATAAAATTCCATTTATAACAGCATGAAAAAAATTAAGTTTAACAAAAGATATGCAAGACTTATACACCAAAAACTACAAAATGTTGAAAGAAAGTAAAGAAAAGCTGATGAAGTGGAAATAAATCTCACATTCAGGGATCAGAAGACATGTTGTTAATATTGCCCTACTTCCCAGCTGATCTACAGATTTAACAAAACCAGAGTACAAACCCAGCTAGCCCTTCTTGAAGAAATTGAAATGCTGACCCTGAACTTTCCACAGAAATGCAAAGGACTTAGAATAGCCAGAACAAAATTAAAAAGGGACATAGCTGAAGAACATTCTTCCCAGCCTCATAACCTACAAAGCAAGGCAGCCTGCAATAA